GACCTTGGCTCAAAGCTGCCAGAGAACCCCCAAGCAGGGCAGGTACCTTCACTTCAAAGAATGCTGATCCAAATGTAGGCCACTTGAAGATAATCTTTAGGAAGGCAAGCTTGGCTTCTTCTCTTGTTTTGCCCGCGTGCTTATTGTAGTATGCCACGATGGACTGCAACAGAGAACACAACAGAGCTGGAGGGTTTGCACTGCATGGCACTAGGGATGTTTGCAGGGAAGGAGCATCAGTCCCACAAAGATGGTCGGTTCTAGTCTCTGCTCCAATGAACACTTCACAAAAATGCTGGCTGGTCACTGGAGCAGGGCCTAGAACCAAGGCAGGTCCTTCTTTCTTTAGATGAGCTGTGCTGGTGACTCCATTAAAAGGATTATAAGTTTTGATCCTTCAATTTATGCAGCAGAGGAGACTGAGAGACCTTCAATCCAGAGAAGCTGATAGCTCACTGGTTAGGCATATGGCTGAGTTCAGGTCCCAGGAAACAGAAAGGACTTATAAGACTATTTCTTGGCAGTGAGACACCGATGTTACTTCATGGCTGTAGATTTGTCTGTACCTGTGCCACAGCTCTCCCCGTGTAAAGCAGGGAGCATTACTCCTCTACTCAATAGTCTGCCTTAAACAACAGACCTTTACATGAGACTGTCTACCAGCATGTGTCTGTATGGTGCTGCATCCAACACTACAGCCACAGCCACATGCAGCACAAAAAAACCCCACTGCAAGGCGTGCATGTATGAACACACATGTACAATTCTTCCTCCTGGCGATGCTGGGGAGGCTGCAGCTCCGCTAAGGCTCAAGAGGAACGCGGGCCACTCATTCTGGCAGCCCCACTTCAACGTTGAACATTAGGCAAGTCACCTGAGAGGCTGGGCTTCCCCCAGCCAGGCCTGGTGTGTGACTCAAGCTGCTGTTTTACCCTTTTCCAGTCATCTGGAGAGAGCTGCCGGATGAGGTCCTGAGGCACCATTTCCTTCAGGAGCTTGGGGATGCTGGGGAAATAGGACTTGTCATCCTCAAACTTCACCCGGTAGATGAGAGCTGCCAGCTGCAGGACCTCTTCCCGTGTGCACTTGTGGTAGCCGCGCAGGTACTTTGGTAACTCCTGCATGGGGGAAAGAACAATTCAGAGATAGAGGGGATGACCACAGACCTTCATCCTCAGATGTTTAACGGAGTTTGTGGAGGTCTCCAGCCCCTGGCTAAGATGCTCTGCCCTGGGAACACTCGTAGCAATTGTGCTAAATGTGGTGGAGAGGCAGCTGCTCAGCTGAGACCACACTAGATGTTTAAAGATCCTCTCTGGTCTAAAACAGTCTCCTGTTATGTGGAACAGGGTGGTCCCTGTGTTAGCTATCACGTGTGTGAACCTACAGTCTTGTTCACCCTCCCTCATCGCAGAAAATCCACCCCTAAGTAATGGCCACTTGGAATTGAATGGGTTTTCTGCTTTTTTTGCAATTTTAAAAATCTATTCCCTCGTTACCAAAAGTGTCTGAAAATGTGTCAAGTGACTAACTCAAGCATTAAGGGATACAGTCATATTAGGACAACCACTTTATCCAGGCAAGAACACAGTGAGTGTATGTGTGCATGAGAGCAAGCTTTGGGACATTAAGGTGTCTCTTCCACCCCAGAAGAAACAAGAGCAGAAGCACTGCAACTTCTCACCTAATTGCTGGGACCGTCACAGCTCATCCCCACAAATGGAGGTGGCTGAAAACCCTCAGGATGCTTCTGAATTCAGCATCCCTGCTGAGGCTGCCAGCAGGACACACTCTCTCATGTTTCTTGCTGCCCACCCAAGAGCAGCTGGCCCAAATCCCAGCTGAGCTGGTTACCCTGAGGTGCATGAAGGCTGCTCCTTGCCATGCAACTCAACAGCGCTCTTTGTAGTGCTCTATTTAAGGCAAGAGTTCTTCCCATTTAATGCAAGACTTCGTCCATCTGCAGATAGACAAAGTCTTTCTAACCCATTCTTAATTCCTCCCAAGTCTCCACTCTTATTGCAGGGTCCCGGCGTACCTGGTAATAGTGGAATATCGAGTCTGCCATCGAGTCCTTTCCAGGCGTTGTGTTGGTCCATAGCTTTTTCATGAAGAACACTTGGTAGGTGAGGGAAGGCACTATACCTGTGCAAAGGAAGCAGGGAGCAGATACGTAAGAGCAATGCTGTGAGCATCAGCTGGCAATCGGTGTCCCTGCAAGCCAGTGGTGCCCGTGTGCCGTCACAACTTGCAGGGACAGGGGCACTCGAAAGGCCAGATGGGCTCTGACCTTGCAGGGAAAACCACATCCTTTTCTT